AATTTTCTGAAATTTTGTAGAGGATAAAGACATAGCTCAATTTTAAAATCATTGAAAGGAAAGGGATCTTAGAGATCATCAGTATAGGAAGTTCTCCCTGAGAAGGAGACATTTAGTCTTTGCTTAAATATTTGCAAGGAGTGACCTCAAGAGAGCTTCTTAGATAATTGTGATCTGCAGACAACATAAATCCACTCATCAGTCTAGGTTCAACCTCCTGGAGAAACAGAACAATTTCACTTCCTCTTTCAGTGACCAGTTTTCAAGTTAAAGTTGCCCTGTGTCTTTTTTCTCTTTTAACATAAGACCACAACATAGTCTCCTCAACTGATAATATAAAATGGGATAAGAAAAGACTAAAGTGATACATTAGTGTGCATTTTGTGATTTTTATTGTTTTCCACAAAAATGACATTTCCTTGCCCCTAGTTTGTTTGTGGACTATGTTTTTAGTGTAGGCTTGAATCTGACACTATGCCTCGAAAAATCTCTCCAGAAACCTTATTTCTTCCTTAAATATTTTCTCTATGACTTCATCAGCTTTGAATAGCTCAACTATTCTGGGGAGAGGAATCATCTCTGTATTATTTGCCACTGGTGAGTTTCATGGGGACTGAATACAGCAGGTGCTCAATATATATTTTTTGAATTGAATAAATTCAATTCAGAATTTATCAAAGTATGCTGAGGTTCTTTTTACTTTATGAGACTGAGCTAAAACAATATTCTGGATGTGGATAGCAACTATTACTATAATACATATTTTTTTCTAAGGTAAGAGTCATTTTCATACCTGTAGAAAATAGCTTTAAATTTCATAAAAGTAAAGGAAGAAGACTGTGTTACAGCTGGAGAACTGCTGTTCAATACATATGATCAATTTTTATTGTAATAAATTACGTTCTAGTCATCAAAATAATAAACTTGAGTGTTTTCTAATTCTTCTGAAATTGAAGGCATTAAATCTAAGATAGTAAAACAATTCAAAAAATATTTATGAGTTACTTTATAAAACTGTGCTCTTATTTATCTTGTCAACTCAATGACAATGCCTTTCCCTCCCTTTGGGCTAAACGAGCTTTCGGCATAGAATTGTTTCTTTCAAGTCTTTTCAATAGCTGCACAAAATGACAGAACATTCCTGTGTGCAGTTAAGGAGATGGTAGCCAAATGGGCGTAAATAACTCATTTGCTCTTCTAATTTTCTTTATGCCTTTTAGCTATTGCCGTGTACAGATAAAATAGACCCTATGTCCTTAGATTTTCATAGTATCAGTTATATTCATCACCAAATGATACAATGCATTATGCTTGTGAAAGTGAGTAAAGTTAGAAAGTCAAAATAGGATTGGCTCAGAAGATTTTAAATAGCATTTTATACACAGATACATTTTAAAAGTCAGAGCACAGTGGCTTGAAGAAATGGATTTATGGAGAAAGTGTCATTTTGCTTCCACAACAACAAATACAAGCATAATTACAGGTGTTTCTTTGGGGAGCACATGGTGTCTTTTGCCTTGTTTTATCATCTACAGGCTTACTTTTGATGCCCAATTCCAATTCCAGATATTTGGAGTTAAACTCTCTTCCCTGGAGATCACTAACTCTTAAATGATCTCTCCACTATTTCGTTTGAATAATTTTTTTTTGTTATGGTAAAAATGAGTTTTAGTGATTTCAAAGTGTTCCAAGAACATATTTCTTTTTTTTTTTTTTCCTTTTTGTCTTTTTTACTGACCGGTAACGGGATCGCAACCCTCGGTGTCGCACCTGTACCGGGGACTGGCAACGGGATCACAACCCTTGGTGTTGCACCCGCACTGTGCTCAGCCAGTGAGCGGAAACCGGTCTCCACATGGGATCCGAACCCTCAGCAGGAGCACTGCCGCGCTCCCAAGCGGCGCACTCTCCAGTGCACCACCGGGCCGGCCCGCAAGAACATATTTCAAAAGATGCTAATACTTCATGAAACTAAGTGGTGTTGGACACAATTGCCCTAATTATAATAAACATTTTCATTTTAGGCAAAAACACTGTTTAAGTGTCATGCAAATAGTTACATTTGAAGTGGGCCAATTATTATTAAATACTTTTAAAAATAAGTGA